AAAAAAATGAAAAAGCTTATTAAAAAATCATAAAAGTCATATTCTGTGTGAGATCTCTTGTTAGCATGGAGACTGTGCAGCAGAATTAGTGTTGCCCCAGATGCTCATCCTGTTAGTGCCTGTGAACATGTGTGTGTGGCCTGAATTATGGAGAGCGTAATTTACTACTCGGTCAGTGGAGGGAGGGCGGCGTATTAAGAGGTAGACCCATCCAATATGGCTTTATCGGTAGGCTGCTGTTTGGGCAGCTTTTGCAAAGGACAAGACAACATCAGTTAATAAGATGCACTAGACAATAACTGGTTACATCCCTTCGTCAAAAACTTGCACTCCTTCACTCATTCGCCCATCCCTCTATGAATTCACCCATTCATTCACTGATTATCTACCATAACATGGATTAATAAAACACACAAATAGCCTAAATGGCTGAATGGTTTGTATTAAAGGCTGACACTATTAAGAGCACACAGCAGCTGCCTACCGTGCACAACAAATTTCAGCCGAGGTGACTTTCCGGTGATAACCGAGGCAAAAAGCGACAGCAGGATGAAATGATTCATCTTTCTTGGAGCTCTGGAGCGTGTAACCGGTTGGTAAAACGATTCAGCCGAACGAAGCGCTCAAATCCTTCTCCTGGCTCGGTCCCTCCCAAGTCTGCGTTCAGGATCTGTGCCACCAACTGCTGGTCCCAGTCCTGTCTTGTCCGTCTGCTTCGCCGGCAGTTCAGTTTGGAGAAGTCGGCGTAGCAGGCTCCACCTTGGAAAAGGCACAGGGGGAGAGTAGCATTTCAGCGGGGGTGCGGGAATGCAGTGTGGGATTGCAAAAAAAAAAAAAAAATGCCTACAAATACATCACTTTTGGTTTACAAGTACAAGCGTGTGCGCGTCATACTGTACCTGTTGCTGAAAGAAAACGAGGATTTTCACTGATATTTTTGCATTAGATGGCACCTTTAAAATCACATCACTCATCTTCATTTTACATCCGTTTATTGGACGAGGGTGACATCTTATTTTGCAACCGATTTAAACTGGCTGGAAATATGTCATATTTACTAATGATAATGAATTGAGGCCAAATATAACATCATGAGCACATTTCCTTAAGTGCAGACTAATGTAGCCTACATTAAATTTTGTCACACTGTGTGAGCCTAAAGGCCAGGGCCATTTTATCTTTGCTCACAAGCCCTCACATCAGCAGCCAGTAAAGATATCTCCTCAACAACTGCTTGTAATATTTAATCAATATGTGTCAATAGTGCCTGAATAAGAATGAATCAGCATTTTGGCTCTGCTGTGCTTGCATTTATCACAAGTTAATTGAGTATAAAATGTAAAAAAAAAAAAAAAAAAAAAGAGCCACTCTAAATGGTGAATGCCTGTTAGTTGAAGCAAACCAACCAGATGCTTCCATTTGTGCAAAATTGCTCGTTGTTAGGCGTCCTTTAATGAGGCATCTGGGTTTCTATGAGACATTTGAGATCAGTGGGATCTTTGCAGGGAAAATCAGCGTGAGACTACACTGAAAGAAGAGGGAAGAAACCCCTGGATTTCCTTCATTCAGAAAGCTCTACATGCCACACACAGGTGGGTCATTGATGGAAACAAACCTGTATCAGCTCATCCACTAGGGGGGCAATTCAACTTTTTAACATGTCTCAAATACTTTAATCATCTCTCAGTTCCTCTGACATCTGAGTTCAGTCAGGGATGAAAACATTCACTTGAAAATCTAACAGCCAGCTGCTAAGGATGCAAACCGTGTGGTTTTACTCATGAAACATACTCATTCAACCACATACATTTAACCATAATCAATAAAAGTATAAAAGCTTTAAAAAGTTATTCCATTCCCTTGATAACTGGTTGGATTTTAGCCCACATATCTAGAGTTCATTAAGTCACAGCACTGAATTAAATGCCGTAGATTTTATTTCTTGTCCTGTTGGGTTAACAGCAGTCTGACATCACTTAACATGAGGACATCTCTGTTTGAAGTTTCAAGTCTAACCTCACTCAACAGTATTGCCATCATGTCTTCTGGGATATGATTATTTCAGCCATTAGAGGGCAGCAAAAGCAGGGTTACCAGTCTTTGTTTGATCGGCTCAAGTTAATGACTTTTCTCCCTGACACATTACAGCAGGGTTCTTCTGTCTCTTTCAGCAGG